GACGTGTGCTCTTCCGATCTCCCCAAAACCCCAAAACCCCAAAACCCCGTGATTCGAAAAGTAGTGAAAAAGTATTCATGATTGAAAATAAAGTAAGATATCAATAGAATAAATATAGAGGTATTTGATACTGATATAAATGTATCGTTCTCCTGATTATTCTTATAGTATTTATGGTATATAATGTCTATAGACAATAAATGCATGCGCCTAGTCAGTGCTTGCATCCTATTGCCGAGAAGGCTCTACGATGAACTACTTTCAAATTATTCTCGTGAAATTGAGTTTGTTACTCACCCAAATGATCGCTTAGATGCCTATTATATCTAAAGCTTAATTATTCATCTATATCTTAGTCAAATATCTCCCATTCATCAAAATTAGATATCAGTTTCAGCTTGAACGGTTGCTATGGTGAAGCCCTTGAAGGAGAATGCAACTTTCTACTATTATTATCAATGAGGTATTATTAACCAAAATTTTGCTATGGCTACGGAACTCTCAACATTCCACCATTTACGTTTACTAATTTATCTTTAATTTATTCAGGACTTGTGTTTCTTTTTTGGAAAATATTCTGTATTTTTATCTATTCCTGACAAGTCCTCATCTTCTCCACTCTTTGCTTGATTTAATTATTCTGTTACATGAGAGTGATGAATTCCAAGCAGCGCTCTTAATTCATGAAGCTCGATCTTTCTTTAATGTCAATTGGGTTTAAAATTACTTCTTTTTACTTGCTATTGTTATTTGGAAAGGGAATCTTCAGAGCCTCTTATTTAAGGTGTCTGCAAGAATAAGATTCGCTATCTTCCTCTTCATGCAAATCTTCTTAAATTCTTCCGATTTTTAATGGAGTCCAAAGTTTTAATGGCTACTAAGACTTTTCCTACTCAATGTACTAGCCAAGTGATCCCTTTCTTAGGCATTTTTTAGATTAATTCTATTCTTGATTTACTCCTATTACGATCTGAGACGGAGCTTAAGAAATTTTATCGTTATTGTCTTCAAAATCGTCTGCACTATCATTTCTATTCTTTTTCAAGCTTCTAAATCTCCCTAATGGCATCAAAGGTGAAAGTAATGAAATTTGAGAATTCTAAGACTTCTCAAACACATTTGTTACATCTAATTAGCTCATTACCTATATTCTTGACATATCAGAATCTAAATAGGTAGAGTATGTCTATAATAATTTTTTTTTGCTTGTAAAGGATTCGAATATCTCTTTATTATTTTAGAGACTCTAAACCCATACAGAACTCCCTGGAGTAGACCAATCCATAACCCAATCGAGAACTTATCCCTAACTTTTTATTAGCCGTACTAGCTGATTCACGCAGTAGCTATAGTCAGGAGTCTCATCATATTCCAATGTATCAATATATCTGATAAGTCCTCGAAAAACACCTAATCACAGATATATTAATTTAAGATTTTAATTTTATTTATCTTAGCTAATAGGTCTTCAGAAATGATGTGGAACTTACATTAATTTTGTTATGCTGAAGCTTTCTAATGAAGTTTCCTCTTCAGCTCGAGTACTTTCTTAAAATTTCCCTCTATCGTCTCAATATTGAAATTTTTAGTCCAAGGGAGAGTTCCCTCTTTGAGATATATTAGCAAATACATTATTGAGAGTAAATCATCACGTCTGCTAGGTCCTATAATATTATTGTATGCCTCAATTAAATAATGGCAATTAAAAATTTACTTTGTTTCTACATCTGATAAAGACTTGCGTAAGTTATATTCCCGTCGAATTCATGTTTTATTTCGTTTTTTAAATGAAATCCCCTGCTATCTAAATACCTTTTTGATACACTGAAGTCAATGAGATAGATGATCGAAGAATCTGATGTATAATTTTTGTCATTTTTTAGCATAACGTTGTCTAATTTGATGTCTTGATGAATGAATCCGACATTTTTGTCATGGAGTTTCGAAATCAGATTAAACTTGAAATATGATTAATAATCATTTGATTATCTTACTAGTTATATCCCTATTTGACACACTGTCTTCAAGGTAAACAATCTTCCCCTTTCTTTTATGCAGTCATAAAGAGTCTTTCCTAACTTCTACATTGCAAAATAGTTGTAATCTTAAAAGCTACCGCTTTGGTAAATTTAGGGAAATCCTAGGATCAGATATTAGATTTACTGCATAAATACCTTAAAAGTTGAAGATTTGAAGTGCTGTCATTATTTCTATCTCTGATTAGAATATGTCTTTGTCTTAAGACTATAATATTTAAGTTTCCGGGTTACAAAGTTTTACAATTTTGATTGCAACTGTTGTGTTTTGTTCGGAGTCATATGCAGCCCAAACTTGACCGAATGAGCCCTGACCAAGTTGTTCTTATAATGTAAATCTGCTATTTAATTTAAGACCTTATTTTATCATTTCAGAAATAATAAATAAACGTATATTAATATGTTCAATATCCAATTCACACAAAATATTTCTTAAATTTTGAATAGATGGGTTTTGGGGTTTTGGGGTTTTGGGGTTTTGGGGTTTTGGGG